AGATCAGAAGACATGTGATGGCTCCTGAGATGGATTGTTTTTCTCATTCCTTCTGGATTGTTTGTCCTTGTAGTTGCCAAGAAAAAATTGCTAACTTACAGCATGCAAGCAGTATCTCACAAATGAGCAAAGCATCCTTAAACATCCTGAAACTCTGGTGGGAGACTGGTTACAAGGAAAAATCAAGCACGAGAAGAGATTTATCTGTTATGGAGGGCTAGACCTCAAAGAGGGATCTGGAGCGGGCCTACCAGAGACAGTCAGGCTCCTTACCTCCAGAACTGAAAGCTGGTGATAATGTGTGAAAAATCTGTAGAGAACGCAGATCCCCTCTTCAGGGATTTTCTTCCCCAAAATTTTTATATGTTATGAAACACAGCTTCATGTTGACCGAATCACCCTCAATTGCATTTACCACAGCTGCCCAGAAGAAGACATGATATCATCCAACAGTTAACATGCTTCGCATCTCAACATCTGGAAATGCATACATCAAACAGGAAGAGCAAACCTGCCAACCACCACTCTGATCATTCAAGCCCTGCGTGAGGCAATATGAGTAATAAATTAAGGTCCAGAGCTTTATTTCTTAGCTTCAACAATAAAGGCTCAAATTTTGCTACTGTGAGCAGGAATATGACTTGTGTGACCATGCTTTGGCCCCTGTGTTAGGCAGCTTTATCCTTTCAGCTGTAAAATCAAAAAGGAGAAGCAGTGGTGGAAATCTGACCAGTTTTCTGAAAGGCAGAAAGGAAATTTGGGACAAAGGAACCTATTTTATTTCTTTGGCCTCCCTAAGCTGTTGACTGATAGCTACATAACATCAGCTCAGTGCAACTAAATATACTGCTTGCCTTTTGCAGTTGTCCAGGTAGATTCCTATATATACACACCACAACTGTGTGAGAGGTACAGGACTGCATAGCACATGGGGACAGTTGTATTGCCTGGGCAAGTCACATTCAGTGCTGGCTGGAAAGCTCAAGCACCCCTAACAATATTGGACTCTCTCAGAAAATCTTCACTTCTACTTCATTTATACTGTCTTTTAAATAGTTTGTCATTAAGCTGTCTCAGATATGATGCAGGAAATCAAAACCCAAGCACAGGGATGGTATCACTATTGAAACAGAATCTGACTTCTCCTGACTTCAATTACATTTAGTTGTTTTGGATGGATCTTATTTTCACTCCTCTTAGCTGAAAAGGTAGCAGGTCATTTCTACCTTGCCTATCCCAAAGGACCAAGAGAAGCATCAACAGCTCTAAGACAGGTGGGAAAAGTCCAATGACTGCTCTGCTGCCAGCACAGCATGCTGTTGTCGCATAGAGGAATATGCACCTCAGGAGATGCTGAGCAGCAAAATGTGCAACCCTTTCTCCCAACACACTTAGGGGCCAAAGCAAAATAAAAACTATAGTGACAGGATGTGTGTTGAGGAAGACAGAGGATTTATCATGAAAATGAATGGGATAATGCATTGATTAAATTAAAAATCATAAAATCCTAGAATGATACAATGGTTTGGGTTAGAGGGGACTTTAGAAGTCATCAAGTTCCAACCTTCTGCTGTGGACAGAGACACATTTTGCTAGACGAGTTTGCTCCAAGCCCCATCCAACCTGGCCTTGAACGCTTTCAGGAATGGGGCATCCACATCCATCCTTCTCTGGATAGCCTGTGCCAGCGTCTCACCACCCTCAGAGTAAAGAATTTCTTCCTTTCTAATCTAAACCTTCCCTCTTTCAATTTCACTACATGCCCTTCTAAGAAGTTCCTCTCCAGCTGTTTTATAGGGCCTCTTTAGGTACTGGAAGGCTGCTCTAAGGTCTCCCCAGAGCCTTCTCTTCTCCAGGTTGAACGACCCCAACTCTCTCAGTTCATCTTCATGGGAAAGGCACTCCAGCTCTCTGAATCATTTTTGTGGCCTATGCTGGACCTGCTCCAAAAGGTCAAAGTCCTTCTCATGCTGGGGGCCCTAGAGCTGGGTGCAGGACTCCAGGTGGGGTCTCATGAGAGCAGAGTAGAGGGGACAATCGCAATCATGTGATGCTCCCCTGCTCAGTGTGACTCCATGCCATCAGGCAATCATAGGCACACGTGGTCCTGAACCAGAGCTAAAAAACGAAGGTGAAGAGCGGGCTTTCCTTCTGCTGAGCATGAAGTGGTTCAGGCTGCCTGCAAGACTACTTTAGAAAACCTTTCTGTGTCTTTAGTGTGGCTTTGGACTAAAAAATTAACTTTGTCTAGAAATACCAGGACTTCCCTGAATGACAGGAAAACATGCAAATGAAGGGTCCCAGTCACTTAAAGGCTTCATTTCCTGTTCTTATGTCTCCTTCAAGCTTAAAAGTTTACTGTTGCTTTAACTTTCTATGTACATAGTTGTTTTTAGATTTTGTCTCATGGAAAATTGAGGTAACGTATCAAAGTACTTTTAAAGGATATGTGGTCCCTTGAGGGATCTAGACACATTGCTAGCAATTTAGCCTTCATGAGCTTTACTTTTTAGAATAAATATGGTGGCTTTCTTTTTTAACTACATTTTTACTATGATACTTTCACAGTGAAGAACCCTGGGTTTACCTCCGTGAGTAGAGACATGCAAGGATATCAAATGAAGAAATGACAGTAAGTGGGAACATGGCATGTTATACAAGTGTTGTTAAAGGTTCGTGAGAAGATTCCTAACAAGGATGGTGTTAAATCCTTTTGTAAATAAATCATAATTTTAAAAAAATCTATTACTTTATCTGCATCTCAGATTTTGATGGATGTTGCTTACTATTTTGTTAGTAACGTGAATAAGGCAGCAGGATGTTCTCACACCTCTAAAGACATTTCTCTCTTGTGAAATGATGGCCCACATAAGAAACTCAATATCTGTTTCTTTGTCTTTCTCCCCCTGCACACTGGAGAGATTCTTTGTCAGATGTGCAATCAATAAAAAACATATCTTCAGCCACTAGTAAATTTAGTTTATTAAAACACAGGCCCGACAGTTAATTCAATTGCCAGTAAAGTCATAGCATGATCAATAAAAAAAAAGTGACCTCATAAGTGACATACATATATCTTCTAGATGCAAAAAGATCAGAAAATAAGGTGCATTGGACAGATACAAAAAAACCCACCTTGGTGAGATTAGACTGTGGCTAATTTTTTCCATTCCCTTGCAGTATTTAAAGTGTGTGATATCTCATGAGAGGGTTCAAGCTTGTCACTTGTTGCTGCTTAGGTCCGATCCTGACAGGTGAAGACCGTGCAAGAAGAGTTTGCCCCTTCCTTGCAGTTATGTGTCTGCTCTATCTGCACAGATTGCTATCTCAATCGTGTTCATGCTGCAAAACAGTGCTAGTATTCCCTTTTTCACGAATAGCATGGGATCAAGCACTGCAGCAGTTCACATGACATCATTAAGTCAGCTCTCAGCTATGCTGCTGCATTACTGAAACTAGGATTTGGAGCATGAACTTTAGTGAAGACATGATAAAACTCTGTGTTCACATCAAAGGTAGCATCAAGTAACTGAAATGGATTGAACATAACCCTTAGATAGTCAAGAAAAATGTGCCTTTCCCAGTGATTTGCCAATTACTTTTCCAGCTGACCAGCAATGATTTGTTTTCTGCATATTTCAAACAGAGCTGAAAACAGCTTGCTGCTGCTATTTTTGTTTGGGAACAATAACATTCAGTTTATAAAGTCCTTTCTCCAGAAAAAGTTCAGAGCATTGAGAAGTATCTTCACTGACAGAAGCCTTTCTTTGAGTGAATTTCACAGGGAGGGAAGGCTTTCAGCATTTTTGTTAGTTTTCATATGAGACCAGCTGCTTTCCTGGAAAATATGACTAAACTTCTTGTCTGTTTTTAGTAAAAGATGAGGTAATTAAAAACAAAATCTAAATATGGTGAAACTGAGTTGGGAGTCTGTTTTCACTTAGGCCTGAATTTTAGAAAATATATTTTAGAAAATATTCAGAGACTTAAAACTGTGGGCAGCCATTTGATGAAATTTTGCAAAGTACACATAGCTGTAGCTTCCTGTTGCTTTCTGAAACAGCTTTCCTCCTTCTTCTCTGCTGCCCATCTTTCCTCCTGTTCCTGGCTTAGTTCTTCCCTGTTTCATTCATTCATGTTTGATGTCTGGGAGTTCAAAAAAACTGGAAGTTAATCTTATGAGAAAAGGGAACAGTTTCCTCCTTAGAGCAAGCAGGATGTGAGGGATTAGGCATGTTTTTGGCAGCAGTTTGCTGTCAGGCTGGTTTACCTGTGCAGAGGAAACCCTTCCCTAACTACCTGTTTGGACCAAAATAATTTTAAAAGTTTGCCTTCGGATCCCTGTGTGGGAATTGGGTTGCTGAGCCTCAGCTTTCAGAAAAGCACTGGCAACACTGGGCATAAAAACAAGTGTTGCAATGACCTTGAAGGAATCAACACACACATGAAGAGCTGCAGGGTGCAACCTGGTGCTCTGGGTACCCGCATCCCGCCCTTGCTGCCAGCAGTCGCCTTACTTACAACACTCCATGCTGATGCCATTGAAGTCATTCTTTCACTTGACAATCAGTGAAATGTTAAGCAAAATACCTTGGTGGCTGGCTCAGAGTGGAAAATATAGAAATTTTAGTGCCTTCTGAGAGGCCTGAGCGAGTGCTGGATCCTGTTTGTCTCTCTGCCTTCTTTTTAAGTCGGCCTCAGTAGAAAGGATCAGTGATGCTTTACATTCCTTTATGTGCAAACCCTTTGCCAGTGTTTGGAAGGGGAACTGGCAGGGCACTATGAATCTGTTGGGAATCACAACATCTGAACCACACAGCCTTGCGCACACCTGGAAATGGAGCAGAGAGCTTCAGGCACAGGCACTGAAGTGGTCAGGTGAGCAGTTTCCCTTTGAGTCACTGGTTGATTATTATGAAACAAAATAAAGGGGCTCTAGTAGTAAGGCAATTTCCTTTCAATCCCATGTCCTGAGGAGGGTGAACAGTAGAGGTATGTGATCACAGTATGTGATACAGCAGGAAACAGAGGAGGAAGAGGATGAGAGTGATGATGATGGTTAACAGTGCCTTCTTGTGATAAACCACCCTCTTGCTCTGTACAGTCCTGGACTTGAGCAAGGCTCTGATTGCAAAGACATAGCAGACAACAATTGTACAAAACAGCAGTATGAAACCCACTTTGAGGACAAAGCTGCTCATCATGAAGAACCTGTGTCTCTTGAAGGGGTAGAGGTCCAAGCATTTGACTATGGTGCTGTACCCAGCGACTCCCTTGCTCAACAGAGGGCTGGTGGCTGCCAGCATGAAGATCCACATGGCTGTGTAAGTTATTCTTGCTGTTGGTTACTTTTCCATGTTTGAATGGGTAGATGATGGCTATGAAACAAACTATGCTGAGCATGGTGAGAAAATAAATGCTGCAGTACATATTCACTTACAAGGTGTAGGTCATGATCCTGCAGATGATATTACCAAATATCCACTGCAATCCCAATAGGAAATATGTAGCCCGAAAGGGCAAAGTACTCATAAACATGAGGTCCAAAATAGCCAAGCTCTTCATGTATTTATTCACTAAGATCCTCTGCGAAGACTGGAAGAAAACATATATGGAGAGGCCATTTCCAACAGCACGCAGGAAGAAGATAATGAGGTACATGATGGGATAAATTACTTGTTTGAAACCGTAAATCGAACACTCGAAGGAGCCGGTAGTGAAGTTGTCATCTAGAGCCATCTTGGAAATATTCATAGTCTGAACCAGGCTCTCCATTTTTCTGCCAAAGTGAAAAGAACTGATATGAGTGCTGTGTTACAGACTGGGCAGGGTGTTTGGCTATTTGAGACTATTTCACTAAGGGCAGAAATTGCAAGATGAAGATGACGGGGGAAGTAAGGGTTAATGAGTAATTACTTGTACTGTCACAGTAAATACACATCTAAAGGCACAAAGCCCCAAGTAAGCCCTAAATAATTTCAGTTTTACAGTAGCTGATTATTGTCTCAGCCTACAAAAGTGTTGCCTTTTAGAGGTGAGTGCTATGTGTGTGTTTTAATGACAAGTCTCTGATCTTTGCTGTGCAAAACAAGCCAACTTGCGGTCAGCCACTTTGTGGCAGGGAGGTTTTGAGTCCCCAGTCACCTACCATGGGAACATCAAAACTTGATCAGAAAAGAAATCACTGTCCACTAGTAAGTCTGCATTTCAAACTAGAATAGAAAGACAAAAGAACTGAATTTGCCTTTTGGAACTAGTGAAATTTTTCTGGTATGTTTTTGGCAGCATTTCCTGAGCAATACCAGAAGTATATTGAAAGATGTATAAATTAATGACATTAAACACTGTGTAAATACTGTACTAGTTACGCATTGTTCCTTTTTTAACTTCCTCCTCCTTGCACTCTATTTGTTATTTCTTGTTAGCTTCTGATGGCTTTCCATGTCTCTTTCTGAGAGACCTTTGCTTCATTTACCATGCCCTCAACCCCTTTTGTGCTAAACTGCTTGGCACCAGACAGTCATCTACACACTCTGCAGGTCCCAGGGCAGCCCACATTTGCAGCCTTAACGAAAAAGAGAAAATGGGCTGTACGCACAGAGAATGGCGTTTTTCCTCCTATGAGGATATAATACAATCAAATCAAAACCACTCACCACTAAACCCTCTAAATAATATTTTTTTTTCTCCTTAGTGTCTATTTCCTTGCTGAACTCTTGATTCCTTCTCTCAGCTGCTGTGGAGCTAGTAGTATTTTCAAAGGAAGGTTTCAGTGTTGTTGCTTGTTTGACAGTGGGAGCCATTCCCTCTTTGCATCTACCAACATATTCTAACGATGGGGCATGGAAAATTTTAGCCTGAAAACCACAACTACACAGCATTTCTAGAGGCATGAAAAAAGCTTTTAATTTGCCTCAGTGAGAGTGATAATGTGTCCATGGTACACAACTGTGTTGTATCTCTTATTCTGAACCTCAGTGGCTTCACAATTTGAAACTAATTTATTTGCACAGGTGGAGTCTCCTTGGGGGTAAAAGTGGGCTCTAGATTTGGGTGGTCCGGACTCGCAGTTACTCAGTGTGCTGTAAAGGGGAGCTAATTTAAAAACTCAAGCCATGGTGTGGGAGCCTGAGCTGCGTTCAGAGCAACCTATGGTATCTTCAGGGTGGTGTCTCAGAGTCTTTCTGAATCCCTTAATGTAGTAGCCAGATGTGCTCCAGCAGTCACCTTTTATCTGGCCCCACTTAGATAGGGAGCATGTGAAGCACAACCCTGGGCTGCTCTCCCAAAGAGAAGTGCTTAATGGATATTGAGGCTCAACAAAGCCCTGGACTGAGTAAACATGTGCTCCTAAAGGAAATCTCCTCCTCATTTGAGATCCTCTTTTCTCACAGAGGAGAGAAGTAAAACACTCTTCCTAAGAACAAATCTTTTGCAATCAGAGGACTTTTAATGGTTTTTGGTTTTCTGTACACAACAACTGTCTCATATACATGTTTTCTGTGTGGAATCAAAGACCAGCTTTTCTCCTAATGGAACCTGATCTCCCCATTTTGCAGGCAAACATTGCAGCCTGAGGTACTGCAAAGGGAAGAGCCTTCTGACTGTGTTTTCCTATGGTCCAAGCATCCTTGCCTTTGGAAACCCTAAAATACAAGAAAATATTAGTGAAGGGATCTGCCAGCTGTTGAAACATTCCTATTGTGTGTGAAAGCTGTGAGGTAGAGGAGTCAAATGAGGTTGAAGAACTTGGAACATGGACAAATTCAAAGTCCTGCTCAGCACTGTAAGTGATGACTTGTGAACCAATGCTATCTGATGATGTATAGGATTAGGGCAATGCAAGTTTAGTTGCTGAAAAGTCCTTGGATCTCTGCACCCTTTGGAGAGCACTGCAAGCACAGGGCCTGAGGCACTCTGCTCAAGCTCTTCATATGAGGGTGTCTAGCTAACAACTACTTAAAGCTATTTTGTGCTTTAACTGAACAAGTGCTTCTCAATTCTCTTTCCAGTTATAGACCTAGACTAAAAGTAGATGGGCATGTGCAATTGAGAAAATTTTATATCGTTGAACCTGGCAAGAAAGTCAGTACTCAGACTCCTCTCCAAGTTATCCAAACAAAAGTTTAAGGTTATCAGGGAATGTCTATGAGAAAAAGACTGGAGACCAGTCAATGGAAAGCTCTTAACCACAATGGTGCCTACCCTCAGAAGAGGGCCAGCAACAACCCATGCAATTATGATATGTAGATGCTCCTATTAGCTGTGTCTTAAAACACACAGATGAATATAGAAAAAAAGGTGAAGTGAAAGATATATTTCACACAGGACTATCTCAAGCAATCATGAGGAGAAGGGGAGAATTTTACCCCACCTTGAATCCAAGAACTGTTATTAACCAGCTAAGGTTAAGAGATGGCTCCTAGATACACAGAATGACATATCTAAGGACAGGCAATAAATTTTTTTTTCAGCATGAGTGTCCAGAAGGTCTCCTGGGTCAGGAATGAATAGGGTGTGTTCAGAATGAGAGACTGGACCTATGGGACCTTTTGGGGTCCCCCAAAAGAAGGGAGATTTGCAGTAAGATCTAGCAGCCCTCTGAGAAAAAAAAAGAGGGAAAAGGAAGAACTGAAATGGGACTCTCTCTTAAGTGGTACTGCAAGACTTCTTTGATAGAAATTCTCAAGCAGGAGATTTTTTTTTAATATATGATCTTCCCTGATGGAAGCTATCAAATGGAAGCAGCTAACACATGTCCTGAGGCTCTTACAATCTCCCTGGCAGGAGAGAGAGAACATCAGCTGAGTAAGAAAAAGGGAGCCTTTTCTGGAATAACTGCTGCATTAGTAGATTTGATGCAGAGTTTGGGTGGGTTTTTGTCTTTTCTTCACCTCTGTGAAGTCTTTTAAAAATATTCACAGCTTGAGTAGTATGGATTTTATAAATAAATATTTACCTTTCATTATAAAGTACATATATCTTATGAATTATACATTTTGATGATGAAGATATATTTTGCCTTTTATCTTAGCCTGGCTTGAGTGTGATTTAAGGTAAGGGAATAACAGAAAGACATTCCTTGCCTATGGTGAATCTAGCACCCTTAACAAATGGATAGGTGTGCAAGCCATGTGGGGGGCTGAGAGAGCAGAAGTAAGAGGATGTTTGTTTAATTACAGGAGATACTAAACTAATAAAAAATGCCCCAAACCCACCATATTTTAAGCTCAGGATGCAGGTAGCAGTCTAGCAGCAGAGTAGGGGCTACCCTATAAACTGCCTAGGGTGTGATGTGTGTGTCTGCCTCCCCAGAGCAGGTGTTGTGTGTGTGTGTGCAGAGCAAGGGGCTGGGGACATGGAGGGATGAGACTGGCTGTGTCTAGGCAAGAGAGGCTCATCAAGAGCAGAAGGGAACAGGTCTGCCCAAGGAACAGACCTTCTGAGGTATCTCTGTGTATCACTTGGGGATGTGAGAGAGGAGCTGGTGGTGGCTGTGGTCATTGTGGGTACCAGGAATGAAGCTGGAATCTTTGGGGGCTCAGCTATGAGACAAGAAAGAGGCTCAGCCAGATTCAGTGTTTCAGTGCATGGGTGAGGCAGTAGAGAGTAGAAATTTAGGTCTATGAGGAACGGAGGGAACAAGGCCAAGTGATACTATACGCAATGTAGGCTGAGGCTGCTGGTGCTTGCAGACTGAAAGATTTGAAGAGGAGTATTTAATCAAAAGCAATAGGGGAGCTGATGGGCGTAGTAGGGCAAAGGGCTGGACTGACGAGACTTGTGAGGACAGTGAACTCACAACCAGTGCACCTCTGAAAAGGCCAGGGGAGAAATAAAGCCCAGCTGCAATAACTAGGGAAGGCAACTCCAGCTGTCCACAAATCCGGTTGACTGCCACATGCTACCTTCAGTGTCTGATCAGAAACAAACTTATATGTAATTCTGCACTGATGCTGAAAGCCAAGATAGAGACAGGGGTTCTGTCAGGCTTGGCATGAGACCACAACCATGATGCAAGGAGAACCCCAAAGACCTGCAGGAGAGAGGATAAACAATGGGAGTCTGTGTTGCCATGCTACTAGCTTTATGGTAATTATAGTGTAGGATGCATGGGTGGAGGAGTGGCACTGTGCATGAGGGACTATATAACTTGCAACAGTATAAAAATATTATGGCTAAAGAGAAGAACTGCAGAGTTCTTGTAGGCAGAGATCACATATTCCGATGATAAAAATATAGGACTAGGAATGCAGTACTGAACTCCGTATCGTGATTATGACAGTTACCAGAAAACATTGAGTGAGGGTAGGAAGATGAAAGCAGGTAGTAATAGCAGGAATTTCTGGGCATGTTTATAAAAATGCAATGCTGCAGCGTAATGAGATATGATGTCCATATGCAACAACTGCTTGATTCCTAGAATAATTAGTCCTGCAAACAAATCCACAATGCAAGATGCTATTCTACATTTTATCTTTACTGCTGCATAGGTCTTTCTTCAAGCAGGTGTTGGCGGACGGAGCCCTGGACCGGCAATCACAGTAAGGCTAGGTTCAGCAGCACTGTGGGCCAGAGAAGCAGTCCCAAAGGAGGAAGCCCACATAATTTTGGGGGTTGTTTAGAACAACAAAAAATTCCACAAAATCTGTGTTAGAAGCCTACGTTCCAAAAGAAAGAGATATTTTAATAAGTATTGAGCCCAATGTCTATCAGTAGAATAATTAGCAAGACAATTATAAGGAAAAGATCTCTGTTTAGAAAGCAGAAAGCTT